ATGTCAAGATTTATGCTTTAGGCCAGGACCGCAAGTCTCAGGCCTGCAGGCAAAGCTGGTCATGCTGACTTCATCGTTCGGCATCTTTCTTGTTTGGAGCATATATAGCTTGATTTGAAAAGGCAAACCCAAAAGTGACTGAGAAGTGCTGCATCCGAGCTCGTTGTGTGACTGTGTGGCTCATTCACTCACCACAATCAAGCAGGCTCACGCACATATGGTGCGGAGCGCAAAAACTCATTGGGCGCGCTTGTTCAAAGTGTTTGTGCCGGCAGCATGAACAAAACTCGACTTCATGAATATCGAAGCCCCTGTCTGAAAGACAAGACGAGTTGTATCCGGGTTGATTTCGGCAAGGTGCTGCAAATTGTTGCACGTCGCCTTCCTGAAAAAAAACTACAGGAGCTGGGTTCGACGCAGCCTGTGTGCCCATGTTGCCCATGCTTGGCCCATCTCAAAGATTGGGCACGCAAACCCTAGTCATCCCTAGTCACATTTGTCAAATCACAAAGAGTCCTCGTCAGGCTCTGGACTGCTCAGCCCCTGCAGCCTTACATGGCATTCACACAATATTCAAAATCCTCGGACAACATGCTGGCACATGCGTGTCCTCACTAGGCTCCTCTGGCACCTACCCAGTTCCAAGGCAAGCTACGCACTCATTGCACCCATCCAGTCCACGCCATCATCGTCGTCGTCGTCCTCCTGCTCTGCAACTTTGCCCTCGCCTGACGCTGCGGAGGCGGAGCTGCCAGCGTTGGCAGCTCTGGCGGCACGGGGCTCCTTCCCGGGGCCAGGTCAGCTCTCAACAAGTTCCTTCAGCGAGTTACTGGATCACGGCCCAAACATCCGACCCGTCACGAGCGTGGGGGCACTGATCGGCGGTTGTCTACGAAATTGCATGGAGGGCCGATGACGAGATCGGGAGCATGACGGGCGAGCCCCTCGATTTTTCGTCAATTCTAAGAGGCGCAGAGCGGTTGAAGGTTCTGAGCAAAACTCTACTTCGCCGAGGCCGGAACCCTGGGGCGTTTAGATCCAGGTCTAGGGAACCTTCTGAAGGTCTACCTACCCCTACCAGCGCGGACACGTGGCAGGACCAGGGCGAATCTTGGGCCAGCCATAGTCCCCCCACTCATCGCTGAGCCACTTTCAAGCGCACCTGAAGCCTATGGGTCCCAGTGAGCCCTGAATTGCCTCGGTACCCTTGCCGAGGGGTCCTCGCTTTAACTGCTAAATTACATCCAGTCATCTAAGCCCTCTTCACCTCCGCGTACCTTCCCAATCATGAGTTGCACCCGCGCCACCGGCCTCGGTGCGGGGCCGCTTTGCCTCATCGAGCTGCTCCGCATCCTTCTCCTAAGCCGGCTCTACGATTAACACGGTCTTATCATGCTCGAGTTGTGTTGATTTGCGATCACTACATCTATATATTTTTGCCACCCACACTGCATCTATCTATATTATACAGGGGGTGCGACATCCCCCCCCCCCCCCCCCCGCTGGAACAATTCGCCATGGTAAGCAAACTCGTATCGGGGCTGACCCACAAGAGCCCGCAAACCCAATCGCAACCATAGGGAATTCCAGAGCACCCTCGCCACGAAGAACAGCAGCGACTGCTCCAAAGGCATTTGCGAGCTTTGCTTCTTTGAGAGTTTGGTGCACCGAACCATTGGCCAACCAGAGGCCACAAGCAGCTCACCAAAAACAAGGAGGGTTGTCATATGCTGTTATTGTTCCTGTTGCCGCTGTTGTTAACTTCGCCCCCTTCCCAGGCTCCCCGCATCTAGCCAACAAAGAGCCTGAGCCCTGCACATCCTCTCCTGCTTTTCTGTGACCTTTCCTCTGGCAAGGTCTGCAGCACCGACTTTTATTTACTACTTGGGCTAGTGACTAGTGCACACCAATGTCTTGTCAGGGCCCGTGCCCAATACATCTGAGATGTTAGAGGTCTCGTTCAACAACAAAGCATAGCTGTTGGGAGAGCCATCTCGTTGTTTCCGTGGTCCCGATCTCGTTCTACATTTGCGGCTTGGCTACGGTTTATACATGAGCCTGCGTGCGACAACCCGCAGCCTCCTGTTTGGGTTGCCTTGCCGCTGGGCAGGCAGGAGGCCGAGGCGGATCGCGAAGCGTTAAAATTAGGATCAAAAAACCTTGCTTTTAACAGCCTTATTTCGGCGGTCCCTACCCGCTGACTTGGCAAGGCTCGCTGATCCAGCGCTGGATTCCTTGCCAGGCTTGTGCTTGTGGGTCTACAATGTCGATGGCAGGATCATATGTGACAGCGGCGAACGCTGGCCACGAGACTATGTGAACAGTTTCGCGGGAGGTTCCCTTGCCGAACATGCGCGTTGCCCCATTTTGGCAGACTTACCTTGTGTGGCTTCGAATGCCCTATGACACACACACACACAAACACACACTCTCTCTCTCTCTCTCTCTCTCCCTCTCTCTCTCTCTCTCTCGCTCTCTCGCTGGATTTGCTAGATCCGCCCAGGTCCTTCGCTAACCAAGGAGGACTTCTGGGCTGAGCGCTTCAGCTTGCGGACAAAGTCCGGATCCAAGCTTTCCTTACGGGCCACAAGCTGCTGTGATCTACAGTGTGGCTCCGAGGCTCACTTGGCTTGGCCATTCCAGCTACATCCAGTCTGATAGTCTGGTAGGCACTTTCAATTCCCAAGGCTGATGCCAAGTGCTGCTGGCGTGTGCTGTGCAACAAACTGTCTGAGGCTCGGATTCGGGAGTTGGCTTGGGCAGCTCTGGGCCTTCGCCTGTGAGAAGGTTCACGAGTTCATCTTCCTCGGCGAACAAAGGCGTCCGAAGGGCTTCCATGGGTGCTTGAAGTAACAGAGTTTTGGGCTGTGTCTACATAGAGAGGCCAGCCTGCGTGCATGAATAAGAAGAACTCTAAGCCTTACAAATGATAACGTGTACGCTGTCAAAATCATTGTTGCCGTAGTACTGCAGGCATCCGATTGTTGTCTGCCTAGTCAAGTCGCCCTCTTCTTCTTCTCGAGCCACTCCTTGATTCTTTCGACCTCGCTCGCAGGCCATGCAATGACAGCTGTTGGCTGTTGCCGTGATGTTCGGCCGTCTGCATGGAGCGCCTGCTGGGCGCGAGCTACACGCAGATCCGACATGAGCTTTCAGCCCAGTGACAGCTTTGACGTGCCGTACCCTTCTGCCGTTCAGGTCGCGCATGGCATCAAAGTTCGTTGTCTTCTTGCCTTAAGTCAAACGATCTATCTTCCAAGGGGTGCGTGTCTTCCAGGACGGCCCCTGCTGTGTCTTGTTCCTCATGCTCGGCAAACAGGAAGGTGCACTAGCAACCTCAATTGCATCTTTTGGAATTTGCCTCACAGACTTTTTCGTGCTGCTCCTCGCCTTCGAAAACTTCCCATGAAGCCAGCTAGGCTAGCTAGAACATCTAGAATCTAGAATCTAGAACCAAGCAGCTGTTTGATGCTAGATGCTGGATCGGCTTAGCCTCCCACGTTGCTTTATGGCTGGCTGCTGTGCAGTCCTGGGTGTTGCTGTCCAATCTGTCTCATGGATGGGCTGCAGCCCCTGCTGCCATGGCACCTCCCTTTTGCGAGCGCAGCAACGATCCGAAGCCACCCTTGCCTCACGAGACGTCCGTTGATTCCCAGGTCTCCAAAACCTTCTTCGTGGATGCCATGCATGAGTGGCATTCAATCTGCCGAGCAGTCATGGAGAATGCTGTACGGGACATGGGGGCAAGAGTCTAGAAGAGACAGCTGAGACAGAGGGTTGCTTCAGGAGGCCGTCTCCAGGACGATTGAAATTGATGTCGAATTTCTTCAATGAGAAGCTGCTCAGTATAGGCCGAAGCACTGTGTAGGCCCAGGCTCTCAACGGGCAGGTCGGACAAGCAAAGATGGAAGACGCAAGCATTCTGCAGCCAAGAAGCCGCCCAAAAGACGAAACGCAACCCGAACAAAGCATGGCTGACCATTTTCCTTGCAGGCTGAATCGCTTCGTTTTCAGTTCGGAGCGAGAAATGGCAGCTGAAAACGTTGACGACGCCGTACTGGCTTGCTGCCACGTTTCGAGCGTCTCCAGAAAAAGCGCTGCTGTTCTCCTGAGATAGTCAAGATTACACCGTGCCGTAACATGCACGCGCCCCGTACTTGCGATCAAAGGCCTGCTTGACGAGACATATTCAGACATCATGCTAAAGCATTGCAAGCCCACCCTTGGGCGCCCCCTCGCGCACCCTGTAGCACATTGCACCAAAATTGCACCCAAGCGAAGTCCATCGCCTCAACTCCCATCAGCCACCCATTTTACCCTGAGCCCGAAAACCCCTCAACAAATGAGACATGGTATGAAGGCCGCGGGAGGGGGGAGGGGTACGTGTGGGGGCCCGCTGCGCGGAGTCAAGCATCCTCATGAGATGTGTGTGATAAGCTGGCTAGAGGGTCTCGGCTCTCGGCTTGAACTTAAGACAGGGCAAGCGAGAAGATACGACGGAGACACTCGAAGAACTTGCGGGCGCCTAGAAATCCTCGAGGCGCTCGGGCCGTGACTTGGGGGTCAGGCGGTAGTGTCAGGATGTCGGGTCGTAGGTTCAGGAGGGGATCATGAGTTTAAGCATGTTAAAGCCCTGGGCTGGGTCCAAGGAGCTCGCACTCTAGATCACGCCCGTGGAAAAGCACGCGGTAGTCTTCGGCTTCGTTGGATTCCTCTTCAACGACGAGCTGTTTGTGTTGTAGCTTTACTGGTGGGCTTGTGTGTGACCACTCCGACTGACCATGCCAAATTGCATTCCACGTGCGACGATGCCTCCTCTAGGTCAAACCGGCTGAAAGTCGACACCAGCTCCTCCTCGTCCTCAAAGGTTGAGGGGCCAAAACAATTCAAGCTAAGAGAGGCTAAGCGGCTAAGGGGCAAGGGGTTGGACCAAAATTGCATTGTGCTGTGCTGTGACAAGGCACGTCTTCGCTGGAGGCGGTGGGGCACCTTGTTTTGGCAAACTGGTTCACAAGCAGAAATATCCAGGTCAGCTGGAGTACAGCATGAAAATTCGCAACCCTACGCCATGCTCAAAACATCACGTGAATTTTGGCATTGCTTCATGCCTGTGCGGCCTCCTCGCAAACAGCTCCGCATCGAGGAAGTAGCGAAGAAGTTCCGCAGCTTCCGCTGGGCTGCCGAGAAGCCTGGACATTGCCAGCCCCATGACATGCACGACGAGACGAGCCAGGCATGAGTGGATTCGGTGGATCCACAGCGTTTCACAGTGGATCCACGCCCGGCCCTTGGAAAAACAAAGCTCGCTTCAAGGCCAAGGGGCGACGGATTGACAGGGACGAAATGACAGGCGCCGCCAGGCATCTGGGCGATGATGCCCGCCATTGTCCAGAAAGGGCCTGAGAGAATGACCAAAACAATTTCGGGAGGTCCGGGGGAGTTTACACAAAAAAAAACGGGCCCGTTGAGGTGAATGGGGGTCGCCGTGGTAGCATGGCAAGGCTTCAGTATGCTTCATTACAGTGCTCACCGCCAGCTAAATCTCACGCGCAATGCCTTGCGGCCAGCCGGGCAATGGGGAGGAGGCTCGGGCTTCCCCTCTCCCTCTGTACTTCGAGCCCTGCTGCGGATGTGGTATGACGACACGTTTTAACTTTGTGAGGGCAGTCAAGTCACGAAGTTCATTGATTCATGCTATGGCTGCTTAGGAAGTGCAGAACATCCCACTTCACACACAGTCCAAACGACAGGCTAAAGGCTGAAGAAAGCAATGCTCTGGAGCGGTCTGAGCAATCCGTGAGTTGCTGGCAGAACTTGTAAGTGCTTTCAGAACCCCAAATTCCAAAATTGCAGCCAGCACCTCGCGTGCAGGCGCGCGAGCTTCCTGCTGCTGATTTGGGATTTGGTGTTGGTCGTTTTGCCAGGCACTGCCAGCCATTTTTCACAATGCTTGGACACTTTGAACTCAAGGGTCTTCTCAGAAGGAATCTCATAACACGACCAGAAGAGTGGCCTGGACTCGCAAACCTAGTGGAGCTCCCAATCGCTCACACGCACGCACGCACGCACCCACCCACCCACCCACCCACACCCACCCTCCCACCCATGCACGCCCACCCACCCATGCACGCCCGCCCACCCCGCCCGCCCGCACGCACATTTACTTGCTCAGCACTGGGTTATCCAACAAGAAATGCGTCATCATCTGTTTTCGCATTCTGTTGATCGTTGTTGAGACCACCTGGAGGAAGTCAAGGATTGCAAGGGATGCTGCATATTATATCATACAACGTGTTCATGAATGTTTACCAAATGCGACATGTTGCTGACAGGTGTGACAGGTGGGCGGGATGATGAGAATGCATGCTCTGAATTTGCAGAAGGCTCCCCACACTACACTTCAACAGCAACAACTCAACGCAACTCGTTTATCTTTCAGTACGTGTGGGAATAGAGAGCACAAGGCTTGCACTGCCCTATGCAGCCCCGACTTTTGGTTGTGCGGGTCGCACCAAGGGATGTCTCATCCGAGCACGAGAAGCCCCTAACAAACTATGGGGGGCTTCGGGGAGCAACCGTTTTTGAACTAGCGCTAGGGACCCCCACAAGGAACCGGCGAGGGATTCCCATATGACTGCTCCCAGGAAAGGGGGGGCTTCAATGCCGTTAGGATATGGATGCATAGACAGCCATGGAAAGGCCTTGGACCTCGGAAAATTCCAACCCGTCAAAGACCCTGAAACAAACCTTGTCGGGACTCTTGTGGACACTTGGTGATCCGAGGCATTGCTTTCTGCGACCACCCCCATTGCATGTACCGAAACCCAATATTGAGCGCACATTCCTAGCGACCTCCGAATGAAAACCCACACCTGAGTCCCAGAGGCGACCTCGCGAGGTGGAGCCCGGCGAGGTCCTTCGTCCGCGGGCTTCTCCTGCTCTCGGAGTGACTCATCGAGTGGCGTGCTCATGCTTGAAGAGAAGCAATTTTGGAACATTATCGTCTGAGACTTGCTCTCTTGTCGTTGTTGTTGGCGTTGTTATTGCTTTCTTTTTTATGTTTGTCTTTCTTTCGTTGTTCTTTCATTATTTTCTTTCTTCCGTTATCTTTCTCTATTTCTTCATTTGTTTATTCTTTTATTTACTTCTTTATCTTTCTTCATTTGAATTTTTTTATTTATCTCTCTTTGCCTCTTTGCTTCTTGGCGTCTTGGCTTCTTGGCTTCTTAGCTTCTTGGCTTCTTCGCTTCTTTGCTTCTTTGTTGCTTTGTCTTTCTCGGCCCAGTTTTGGGCGCTCACGAGTTGAAACGAGGGCAAGCTAGCCAAAAGAATCCTTTCGTGTGCTGCCAGCCCACCCCCCCCCCCCCCCCCCCCCCAATCGCGCTGTATCCAAGGATGCTGAATCTCATTTATCTACATCAAATGTCGTATGAGGAGAAAGTCTTGTTGTATCAAATTGCTTTGAAATGATTGATTGTAGACAAGAATCCAAAACAAAAA